AACATTAGGAAAATAGTTTCTGATCAATAATAAAATTAAATAATTGCGGTTTTTTTGCACATACGCTATTTATACGAAATGCATGTATTAAAAATGTATATCCGTTGTACTAATTTTTAATTGTACGAGCATGAATAATGTGTAAGCACGCATAGTGAAAACTTGGACTTGAACGAAAGTTAATTCGTGCTGAAAAAAATACCAAATGCACAAAATCGCTCACGTTATCAATTTTATCGTCCGCAACGAGGATACTGTCACAACAGTCGCGTTAAAAGATGCAAATTGGGTCGATCTAATATTAGTCCCTTAATGCCGGATCCCACTATTTACCGAACGGAGTACTTGCTTCACGTCGGTATGTATGTGGGGTACGTTTTAGGGATTCACCTCTTCACAATATCATTAAACACTACCACTACTAACTGACACCACCGGCGAATATGAGAAACTGCAACGGCCAGGTCAAAGCTTAATTCTTACAGAAATCCGTAGAAGAGTTTTTGCAGCGCTCTACAAAAACACTGATGCTCCATGTATCTGGATTCTTCTTCTCTATTTGGATTCAAGTCGTCTTCGCGGAAAAGGTTCTGCTTCGGAAACAAACTTCTTGATACTCCTCGAGTTATGTAGAAACATGTCTCTACTCATCGAGCAGCAAACAATAAATATTTTCACAAAAAAAAAATAATATAAGAAAAGATGAGAAATTATAATTATATCAGCAATTTTTGTTGTCTCAACGCGACAATATATAGTCTCCGCATATTCGATGACAAGAAGAAAGATACGGCGATTCTCACTTTAAATTCTTCAGAAGTTGAAATGATAGACGCGACTTGTCCGGATTGAGGGCAGAGACGAGAATCTGACGTGCACGGATAGCACACGGGCTATCATTCGATCGGTCAACTTCGGTCAACGCAAATACGATTTTGCCCGTAATTCTTATGTCCTTATTTCCCAAGAAACACGTGTCTTGTAGCCTTAAAGCGGAACGTCTATTGGTTCCGCCTGTCTAAAGCAATCCTATCATTGGTCGATGGATTAGATGACCACGTGGTGTCGTGCTATATAACCAAGGGTGAACTAGCAAGGTATCGGCAGTTGTGCTCGACCGGTGGCGGATGAAATGTGAACGTTTTCCGATCGACAATTTGCGTGAATTTTGCGTTTGTGAAATAGTATCATCACCGACTACCATCGGAGAAAATTCCTTTGACAGTGCGATTCGCAAACTCCACGATTTCTGCCCTTTCGTCGATTCCACGACGAAGAATATCTTGATAAAGTGTCTCACCATCGCAAGAAATTATTATTTAAAAAAATATCATTTTGACATTTTTCGGCGAAGACGATGTAATACTGAATGAATGAAGCAATGATGAACGCGTCATCAGTTGGTTGTGATTCTACGAATCTGATCTTAGCGAATCTATAATTTATTTTAAATCCTATACAAAGATTTGATTTTTTGATCTTTGGTTGCGAAGGAATACTAATTGAAATATTCGATACTAGTATAAAATCACTTACAGGTTTAGGAACACCGATGCATGACATTCGCAGGACACGTGAGTAATTTTCATGGTGAATTTTCTAAATTCGCTTACTAACAATTTATGCAATTCATGCAATTCTTGGTTCTTTAACGAGGCCAACATTACGACCCGATATTAAGGTCTAGAAATTATTTTTAGCACTATAGCATCGATAATTTTCATTGACATCGATTGCCTTAAGAACAGTTCGATTTTTCCTCATGGGGTGATATTAAATCGACGGGAAATGGTTTTTAGCGTAACACTCCGCAAACGGCAGTAGGTCTGTCGTAAGCGTGCACAGTTAAGAAGATCGAACGCGATGAATTTTATATTTGAGTTGAACTGTCCTACCGGCTTATAGAATCGCCAGATGTCCAGTCCCCACAGCTTATTTTACTGCAGAAACGCGTTTTTCATTGACATTCTCAATTCTGTGTGACTTATTTTCAAATCTGGTCCAAAGTACTTTCTCTCATTTAAATTATTTTCAAAACCGTAAAAGGAAGATCGGTCGATCGACAGGAATTTGAAATGAAATTGCATTTTAGAATATTTTATATATAACGAGTTCATACATTAATGTGATATTTCAAAGAATTGCATCAAAAGAAGAATAATTAAAAAATAAGTTTATAAGATTATTTTTTAATCAGTAAAATTGTGTCCAAACAAATGCAGACGAAAAAAGTGTCCTGTAATGTTGAACTTTCACATGTTTCATTTATTCATCCGTGACGCTTATACATCCTTGAATACTATTCAATCTTCCTAACGATTATACACGATGACGGAAATGACGTGACAAACATGCATTAAACTAGCATTAAATAAGACCAAAAAGTCTTAAACATATTAAATGCTAAATGGGAAATATTTACGATAGTAGCGTCGCATTATGTACATCAATAAAAGATTTAATCAAATGTTAAACGGCTTGCAATGTTAAAATAAACGGTCTGTTAAAATAAGTGAAGGCAAATAAATGATTACTTAGACCTAGATATATTTTTCGAATCTTATCAGAAAGAAACATTTTTTATATACATTTTGTTTCATTTAATATAATATAATATACATCAATTTTTTTCTGTGACTTCTATGTTAATTATAAATTGACATAAATTATTTATATGTAGAAGTAAAGTAAAAATAAAGATTAAACAAAAATTATTTAAAAAATTTCAAGATAAAATCGTTTTCCACGAAAGAAACCTACGCATTTTATTATCTTATAGAAAAAATAGATGTAATTCAGTAAACTAATTCTAAATAAGAGAAATCAATATGTTTTCTAAATCTTGTCTATTTTATCATTTATTTAGCAAATAGTCAGTTTTAATAGAATATAAATTTTAATAAGTCATATTTTAGTGGAAAAACATAATTTTTTCTCAATCTTCATCAATAGAAAAACATTGTTAATTGCTAACTAAATTGCTCGTGTTTTCACATTCTTTTATATAAGAGACAGCAAGACGAATAATGTGCGAAAGAATTTGTATAAGTCTAGGCATCGACCTGGGTTTAAACGCGAGTGACCAGAATAATTGTAAGATGCAAAGCGGGGTAATGTTGGACCCCAGTGCAGCTGCTGGCCACTGCACAAGATTAGAGATAACACTCTTGTGCGTGTGACAGCGACTATTATGGGGCTTCCATGATACAGCACCTTTCGACTGGAAATCATCGCAAAAAAGAAACCCTGAAACGAAAGTGCTGTCTTGCAATGAATAAACATTAAGTTTGTATATGTGTATCGAGATATCAAGATATCATTATAAATTATTCGCAATTATCGAGATGATATATTATTTGTTTCTCTTCATAATTGTTAAGCAAGTAGTTGTAATAAAAATGAAATATGACACATAAAAAATATATTATGTAAATAGTTGTATTGTAAAAATAAGATATTGTATGCTGTTGATGCAATAATTGTTTTTTTAATTAACAATAAGCAAAAAAATTTCCAATTGATAAGAGATTTTTAGGAAGACAAACTTCTTATTTTTTTAAAACTTTTTAAAACTTTTGTTATAATGTAGTATGTAATATAATATATAATATATAATATATAACAAAATTTTTGTGTATTATTGTGTATTATTTTAATATAGTATATTTCTTCTCAGTTAATTATAGTATATTTCTTCTCAGTTAATTATATTTGCAAGTAAATTTTCTTTATTTGTTTTGAAACTTAAATGTGACAATTATATATTGTATATATATATATATATATATATATATATATATATTTATAAAAATTGATAAATGTTATATTTACATTAATTAACAAATATTATATATTAATATTATAAATATCTATGTAGAAATTAATTTTATTTAATATAGAAAAATATGGAAATATCTTTATCAAATCTTATTCAAATTTGTAATATATACCTATATAATATTATACCTATATAATATTGACTACCTATATAATACTATATAATACCTATATAATACTTATATAATACTATATAATACCTATATAAATAATATTGATATGTATTTTTATAATATTCATCAATTGTGTAATATGACGGATATATTTTTGTAAATAATATATTTATTGTTAGTGTTTGAAATAGTCAATGAATATATGTCAGAAAAAAAGCAATCAAAAAGGTAACTAAAAAATGGATTTATTTTTGTTTTAAAAAAGAATATTTTTTGTATTTATTTTTAATGTATTTATTATATTAATTATATTAATTTATTATATTAACTAATAAAAATATATTTATAATATTAATAATATTTATTATTAATGTAAATATATAAAAAATGTAAAAAAGTATTAATAATTAATTGGAACATATATTTTATCGTTATTTTTGTTATAGATCTATTCGATTCTTTCATCACATTCCGCCGATAACTTATCTGTGACAGTGTTTATATTAATGGCGATTCTGCATCGATGAGATACTGTACATAAAAGGTTCGCAACTGAATATTCGTCTAGTAAATGAAGTCCGTAGGTTATTCGCGGAACAAGTTAGACTACTGATGTGACCGATTGTTGGTGAACTAAATGCAAGTTAAAATTATCTTAAAATTAAATAGTTGTTCACTATTATTCTTCTACGTCTACTTACACGTAATCGGACAATTCTAAGATATAAATCAATTAAAAAGTATTAAAATTACTGCGAAAATTATTTTTATTTTATTTAGACTCTTCACATTAATTTTATTTAACGAATAAAAAGAAATTATGGCAACAATAAGAATAAATACAACATTTATAAAAATTATACATTTGTAAAATAATTATAAATAATTAATATATCTAAAAACTAAAATGTGCTCGTATTTTCCTGTTCTATATACCGAAATGTACATAATGCTAAACTTGAAAGTTTAATGATTCATTTAAAGAGACTCACTGAAAATTTATATTAGTTTATTTTTCAATTTTAAATTTTTTGAATAGTTTAACATGTTTGTATTACTTAAAAGTATTGTATTTTTAGTTTTAAATTAGAAAATTAAAGTACACATAAAAATCTATGACATTGCTTTTGTATGTTTCATATTGCAATGAACAAAGGCACTTTTAACAATTCGTCTGTGATAATAATTAATTAATTTTTGCAGGAGATGGCTTCACAAAATATTTCGCAGTATTTCCTCCATCTCGGATCTTTTATCTTCGTATAATAAGAAGCATAACATCACTCGCAACTTCGTAATAGCTGGTTCGAAATTCGGATCGAGCTCAAGAGAGGACTTGTAAAAACTTGCAGCAGTCTCAAAATCACCCTGTAAAAATAAATATATCAATTGATCTTTTATTCCATTGTTTAAATATAATTTACATCTAGTGAAATACATATTTAACTTACTAAAGAGGCATAAAGATTAGCGAGAACATAATGATTTATTATAAAGTCCGGGCTAATTGAAAGTGCTATCTGAGTGACTTCGAGGGCTTCGTAGAAATAATTCTGCGAATTGAGAAAAGACGCTAGATTTACGAGAAGTATGTCTTGCATATCTTTCGGAGTGTTTTCTAGGCTTTGCCACATACAATCCAGTGCTTTGCGACTGTCACCTGCCGCGCGCCAATAAAATGATGCGGCTATCGCCAAAGTCCAAGAAGTAGAATGCTAATTTGAGGCAATACACATGATATTATACACAAATACTAAAACAAGAATGACTATAATACTGGATAAATTACCTTTTGCAGTGCAAATGCAATTTTGGTCCCAAGTCCTTGCAAAGTGTCATTCTGCGTTCCAGTCATCATCATTAGCCATTCGGCCATATCGAATTCAGTTTTGTCTTGTAGTGATTGTGAAAATTGTACCATTTCGTTCACACGATTAATTTCAGAGTTACCTTTATCGCATGTCGGTTGTAAAGTCGGAATATCATCTACCAATGATTCAACCTCATTTTCAGCACTGAAATAAAAACAATGTCAATTTAGAAATAATTTGTATGCAATATATATATATATACAGTATTCAGAGTACAGATTCCCGCATAATGCGCCGAGATACATTGACCTTGTAAATATTAAATAAGACTATATAAGATTTGAAAGAAATACATTGTTTAAAATAAACATAAAATTTTTCTCTAACATTATAAAAATAAAATATTTATTTCAAAACAACACAAAAAAGATTTAAGAGAATTTTTTAATTCAAGGTATAATTAAAAATATAATTAAAGTATAATTAGAATATAATTAAAGTAAAATTTAGAATTTTATTTCAAAAATTTTTAATTTATTTAAATACTGTCACAATTTTTAATATAATATTATAGTGAATTTGTACAATATTATATTCCTATATAGCGGTTTATTATATCTATGAATGAATTTTTTTATAATTTTCCGACTACATACGTCATATTTCGTCGTATAAATTCATGAAATACAAATAGAGAAGCAGCCCAGTCCTCATACTTTAGTTCATCACATTCATCCTTATTCGGGTAATACGATTCTTTTTTATTGTCAGACATTTTACCAAACGTCCAATCGGTATATGAGTGTAGCATGTTCTTTGATATAAAAATTATTTATATAAACTTTATTTCAAGATTGTTCATGTGAGTATTAAATTCACGTGTAAAAATTGTAAATTAAATATATGTGCATAAAATGAAACATATATATTATATATATTATCTACTGTTAACATTATCTACTGTTTGCATCATTTGCTTACATCATCTGGAATTTGGTTCATATTTATATGTGATTCATGTAGTTTAGTTGCACTATTGGGAAGTAATAATGAAGATATAAGAACTTGGTGTATATTTTCTTTCTTATTATAGTACAATGTATCTACTAATTCAATTTTATGATTACTCCAGCAATATATTCCTACAATAACATTTTTTAGCTTATTGACTAAAATATAGTAAGACAAAATTTATATATCATCTGTATTAAAGAAACAAAAAATATCTATTTTTAATTAAGAAATTTGAATATTAAAACAAAATTTGTGCAAAATATCAAGTATAATCATTAAAATCAAACATGATGTTACAGCAGGTAAAAAAATAAAGAAGACATATATAAATAAGAATGTAATCTTTATTACTTATTAGTGTACAAAGAAAAAAGCGGCAAATAATAAGACGAGCTTATGAGATAACGTAAAAGTGCATAACAGAAATTCAAAATTACTATTACTTACATTTTATTTACTTCAAGCAAAAACAAACATAAACTTAAATTGGTGTCAAATAGAAAATATAATAGTATAAAAAGTACAATATCTAGTTTTAAGGTACATGTGCGAAAATACGCACCTATTTCTTCAGTCTTTTTTGAAGCATATTTAATATGTTTACAGTTCTTAGCTTGTCGTTTGCGCAAAAGTGTATCACTTGCTTGCAGATTGTACTTAGTAAGTAATACAGAAGGTAAGTTCATAGAATGTTTAGGTAAATTAATTCCTTTTTCACAGCCTATGATTATGACAATATTTGTCGTTATTCATCACAATAACCTACATTTTTAAAACACAGTACCATTGACACAGTGAATAAAATTAATCAACTGAAAAAAAAGTAATATGTGTCATGCATATGATAAAAAGGAAGATAAATTAAAGTTTTAATTGTAAATTTTTCATAAAAACATAATTAAAAAATTACTTGAATAAACTTAAATATTTTCATATTCTTCCTTTTTAATTTTTTGTTGTTTTTAGTTCTAATATTTGTGTTTAATGACAGGAAAAGGTGGCTTAAAAAAATCTGTGCAAAACAAAATAAATCAAGATAATTCAATACTCAAAATAACATAAAATAATATAAAATAGAAAAGTGACAGAAAGAAGATTGTATCAAGCATTTTAAAATGTATGAAATCTAATAATAATACAATTTTTATTTTTTTTTTATAATAGTAATAAAACAATAGTAATAATATACACTTAAACATACCTGCATGATTACCCGTAACAACATTAAATTTTTCACGACAGGTCAATGTCTTTAATAACATTAAAGCCCTACCATCATATAAGTTTGAATCCACCCTTAATGCTTGTTTTAAGTAATGTATAGCTCCTGTATGATTTCCTTTTATATTCAATAATATACCAAGTAAAAAATTAGTCATTGGCTGAAAAATATATATGTATATATCAATTATTATCAAATAATTTTTCCTTATCCAGTAAATACATAAAAACAAAATAGTCTTTTTTTTAATATCGTGGAAATATTGTTTATATAGTAAAAATGCTCCTTTTATACATTTAATCATATTCTGTGTACGTACCTCTACAGTGTTAATTTCCAAGGCTTCATTTGTAATTCTTATAGCATCATCAATTAAACCTACTTTATGATGTAGCGAAGCTATACTAACAAAAGGTACATCTCTGAATTCCTTAGGTACATCATCCAATGCTAACTGAAGGCAATCCAAAGCTAAACGAGGTTTCCCTACTATTCTCCAATAAAGAGATGCAAGTATTGACAATACCCATGGGGCTGCTACTTTCTGATTTGGGATTGACACACAGTTAAGTATTATTAATCAGAAATATAATTATTTATACTATGTATGTATAATAAAAAAGGTAAATTGTACCGCCTCAGTTGCTGTCAAAATCCTTTGACCAATTTCTGCAAATTCTGTAGTTTGAACTAAATTATGTAAAAATGGTTTCAGAGAAGCGTCCGACGAATGCTGCTGCACAGTTGCATCTAGCAAGGTACGTGTAATATATTTTTTATTAAATGATTTAGGTGCTTGGCAAATTGGTGGATGCCATGGTAATGGATGCTTTTTCCATGGTTCTATATCAATCAATTCATTCACAAACAAACGTATCCTAATAATTTACAAAAAATATATATATGCTATTAATGTATTACGATGTGGCACAATATATAAGTACAATTGGAAATATACTTACGCATAACCTTTGTTTTCAGGCGACAAATAAATAGGTAAATATTGTTTTCCATCTCCGAAAATTAACATGGAACCATCGCAATCAGAAATCCTTGGCCAATAATCAGCTTCAAAATCCTCATTTCCTTTCTTGATTTCTACATTATGATACTTTGGGTATTTTGTTGGTGACACAAACATATGATCATATTCCATGTTTATTTCCATGATCATGTCTATAGAATATTAAATGGATTTTAACAGTAGCATGCAAAATTTCTATAATCTATATTTGTTTTTAATCTATATTTGTTCCAAATATACCTTTCGTGATATGATTACTGCGTTCTTTTACTTGAGTTTGCAAATTTTTTAACAAATGCAGGCTACCGTGAACATTTTGTAGCATGTTCTCGGCTATTTTCTTTCTATCGCCCAAATCCATGTAAGACAGTACAATGTTATTATCAATATGATGAATTGACTTTTCGATTGGATTTATTGCGAGAACATGTAGATTTTGCTCTCGTGCAAAGGCGAGTTTAATTTCCCTCGTGGTGGATTTAATATTTTGTTCCCATAGCATATGCTCGTAAAGCTTGAACCACTCCTCCTTCCAATCATGATACGTGTGTATTTCTGACAGTACATTCCGTAAGCGGCTGTAATCATATAATAAATATCACACACACAATACACATTTTTCCTAAACTAGAAACAACAACATTAACTTACTGATCGAATAATAATAAGGTCGTTTCCAACAACCGATGGCATAGTATGGCGTATTTCATCTGTTCGGCCTCTGTCGTTTCAGGTGCTAATTTCAAACAATTATCATAACATGCTGCGGATCGTTCGAAGTCACCGAGAGACGTATACACATGGCCCAACGCCAGATGATGGTAGCTCTCTGTCGGATTATGATCTATAGCCGCGTGCAAAATAATCGCGGCTTCGCCAGAATATTTCGCAGCGTGTAAAATGCCGGCAGTAGTCACAAGAGGAATATCGCGATATTGCCTTAATCACGTACAATGCTTTTGTTACGAGATCAGTATGAAATAATACGGTGGTCTTCTGGCGACACTTTTCTCTAGTATCCCCTAAGAGCGAGTTTCTTATTATATTACCTTGGAGCGCATACAATCGCTCTACGACTGCACTCTAAAGCATTGTAAGCGTTTCCCTTAATCCGCCAATAGATCGACACTAGATTCAAGTATATCCAGGAAGTCTTATTACGTGATAAGCTATAAGCGAGTTGATGGCCAAATTCATTGAGATCAGTACTCGATGGTAGATACTTCATTAAATCGAGTTCTTCATATTGGGTAAGATTCTTTCGATTTTGCATCGCCTGATAGAAAATAAAAACATATAGATATAGTGCAATGCGATTCTTCTCTGTAAAGAATAAATGTGCCACGTACTTTAAGATGTTCAAAAGTATAGATACTAAAATCTAATGGAAACGTGTTTTGACAGTCTGGAATTGTTTGTTCACTGTTAGCCGCTACATTATATAACATATAATCATTTTGGCTGCAACAAAAAGTCTTATTTTAATCCTTGGCCACAAATAATTCTTTAAACTTATATAACTTATATTTAAATATATATATGACTTGTGATTATTCATTTAATATCAACAATTACTCACTGTATTCCTCTGAATCTGTAATCGATCACTATACTAGCATGTACATTGATATCAGCCAATGATTTGTCCCACAGGAAACAATCCGAATTGGAATTTTCTGTATCGGCTATGCCTAAACTGGCAAACTGATTATGAATGGACACTTCCTTCCTTGATATCTTTTTATATATAGTATTGGCAGTTTCCCTGCGTTTTTCCTGTTCCAGAAATACCAGAAGATCATAGGGTCGACGCATATCAAAAACACTGTCATGCTGAAACATGTACGCTGAATCATTAAAAGAAATAATGCATCTTATATTTACAAAAGTGTAACTAGAAAATACCTGCGGCTGAATTCTCCCATTTTCCGTGACATACCAATGTCTAGTAGCCGAAATTTCAAGTATCACCGCGCATATCGTAATAATCCTATAAGATACACTGCTCCGGATCATTTTTCGCGATATAACCCCATACGAAGAATCCTCAGACTTTATCAATTTTGTACTTTCGTTGAGAGAGAAACGCGTCAACAAGGATCACGACTGTAAAAACGAGCGCATTTTTACACACCGTGAGATGTGAGATTCGTAAGAAATATAATGAAAACTATGATGGATCGTTATTACGTCGTGTACTTTCTTTGAAGGATGACTCGCGATACGATATATGACGCGATATTAGTGACTGTCAACGAGAGCGATCAGCTGAGTCGCCAGCTGATTATCGACTATCGTTATCGTCACTTATCGTTGAGTTTGTACCTTTTAAATACATTTTATATGTACGAAATGTATATAAACTATTAGATTATCACAAATTAGAAGGGAAAACAAAAGAATTTTTTGTATCCCACGATTCTTAAAGTATTCTTGAAAAATATATGGAATAAGTTTGCTGCAAATTTATTACACGAAGGTGTATGTTCGAACAGCAAAATGGAGTAGATTTTAAATTTAGAAAAAAAATTGAGCAATTTCGTATAAGATTATTTTGAGTATGAAAACGTTTTTTATAATTTTTGTATTTTTTATTCTTTTTTTTAAACTTGCATCCTATTCATATAATTTGCATATTTAAAGAGAAGGACACATATCTTTTTATATTTTTCTTTGCTTACGTAAAAAAATTAATAAATTGAACAAAAATTAATTTGGAATAGATGAAAAAATAAAGAACGAATATATAAAGAAATTAAAACTATTTGTTATAGTTAGATTTATTCCGATTTTTAATACAAAATTCAAAGGAAATATATATAGTTTCTAAGTTTAGAGGATTCGTTAAAAACATTAATACAACTTGTAAAAAGAAAAAGGAGACTGATAAAAAAATTTGAACGTTTCTTCACGATAAATTTTCAACGTCCTTTTATTCTTATCGTAAAATAAATATTTTATTATTTAAATGATCGAACCGAACCATTTTTATCGGATATATTGCTCAAAATTACTACAAATATATATTGATATAATATAGTCGTAAGATCCATTATAATAGCCCAGCAAACATAATGACGCGTAAAAACGTTAATTACGTATAATAAGTGTAAAATGTTTTTAGACATTATCATGTTTGCTGAAAAGTCCCATTTGTAATTCTCGTTTTTTGTTTAAGGATGTTTTGTATCTATTTTCAAAATATTGAGAATTTAATGAAAATTGTACAGAATGTCCTTACATATGTTTAGAATCTTCAGTACAATTTTTAAATCGATTCACTAAAGCGTTCACAAGTTATAAGGATTTTAATTTGCATCGAATTAACATGTGTTCTTTTGGGAAACGTATAACCACGTTGATTCAAATGACAAAAACACATGGAAATAATATTCAGAATTTGTTTAAGATTTGCAAAAGTTTAGAGGAAATATTTGATCAAATAATATTATACAAGTACTACCTGGTTAAAAAGATATTAAATATAATTCAATGAAGTTAGCCATGTATCTGTCACAAGGCGAAATTCTCTGCCAAAAGTTAATCATTTCGATTAACAAAATTCGGAATATTTCAGTAAAAACGCAATAAATATTAAAAAATACATCTCTGCACCGTAGTTAAGATCAAATTGTAATATTCCACACAATTTCTTACTCAAAATACACCAAAAGTGGACATATTCGTCAATAATGATTTTCAGCTACTTTTTGCTGGGATTGTACATACAAAACATCCTTAATAAGTTTAAACAAAATGCGCCTGAAACATCATTTTCCTCGCACTATAAAATTCGTTACTCTCGGTCTCTTGCGTCTAATCTACTGGTAGCTGGTGTTCAGCCCTTCAGAGTCACCCGTTTCCGCTCGAGTGTTCCAACTTGGCCAAGGCTAGGGAGGGAAAGAAAGAGCTTTTTTCTTGCCGATATACCACCGGGAAGCCGCGCCTGCGTACAGTGCTTGTAGACTGCACCGACTATTCCGTCGTCGATTGCGGAATATTTTAAGAGCCGGAGACTCTCTCGCGACACCGTAACTGCCGCCGCGTCACTCCTCGTTACGAACAAACGATCGTTGCATCGCCGCGATCGATTCGCGGACTATTGACAGTCCAGCGCGAAAACGCAGTGCCTCCTCACGTATAGTCGAACGCGCGATCACGTTTATAGTCATGAGTTTGGTACGGCAAAACTTCCACGAGGAGTGCGAGGAAGGGATCAACAAGCAGATCAACCTGGAGCTGTACGCCAGTTACGTCTATTTGTCCATGGTCAGTCGGTATCGATCAGACTCGGAGGGCTTTTTAACCTGTTTCGCCCTCGGCAAACGCAACACATCCTGCGAAACTTTGCCTCGTCGATTATGTCGATGCACCCCGAGAGAGTCATCGCGTATACACGTGTTTTTCCCTCGGCACTGCCCCTTTAATCTTTCACGTGCCACGATCTGTCATAATGAAATTGAATAAAACGAGATTGAATAAAAACGCGCTTACGAGCTTATCGAGATTTAGAGAGATACGTCCTCGGTGAATTTAAAAACCCGCGATATCATTTTTTTCCCTCGCACGCGAGATCCTTCCACTCTTGTTACATTATGTACATATTTTCATTACAGGCATACTATTTTGACAGAAGCGACGTCGCGTTAACGGGCCTCTACAAGTACTTTAAGAAAGCCTCGGACGAGGAACGCGAGCATGCCATGAAGTTTCTGACTTATCAAAATAAACGAGGCGGTGATATCGTGCTGACGGACATTCAGGCGCCGGCCAGGAGAGACTGGAACAGCGCGAAAGATGCTATGACAGAGGCACTGCAGCTGGAGAAGAAAGTGAATCAGGTGCGTGCGCGGTGTCATTGCGCGCAATCGATATCGTCGAGAATAGCGTCAAAAGGAAAAAAAGCAATATTTAAATTTACACACTTGACGATATTGAATTTTTATTTCAAGTCTAATTTTTTATAAATTTCCGCTCAATATTTCATAAATAATTTTATAAAAGTATTTCCGATAAAAATTATCTGGTAAAATTTATAATAATAATTAATATTTATAAATACTATGCTCTAGAGAGAAAAAAACAATAAGCTTATAATAATGTATATTATTAGTTTAATATATGTACTACTAATATTATTATTAAAGTCGATATTATGATACTGATAAGTATCTTAAATAAGTTAATAGCTAACAGGAAAGACCGACGAGACAAGTTTGTGTGTCTTGATAATTAATTTCCAGGATTTCTCGCGCTGTTCGTTAATTTAATTATCACCAGTTATTTGCTGGGTACGCGTATGTCCATTGAAATACCATGATTTTAAACTACGTTGTAACAGTTGGGGGTGTAACTCAGTGGTAGAGTGTCCGCTTCGCATGCGGAAAGTCCTGGGTTCAAATCCCAGCTCCTCCAAGCATCTTTTTTTTTCTTTTGTATTTCAACTATAATATAAATACATATTTGTTTTCAATCTCGCGTAATGTAACTTGCAAAAAAAAATGTTTATCTGCGATTAATTTTTTTTATTTCTACAGAATCTGCTCGATTTACACCGGATTGCTACGACGCACGATGATGCGAATTTCATGGACTTTTTGGAGACTGAATTCTTGCAAGAACAAGTGGACGCGATAAAAGAAATTTCTGATCACGTAACAAATTTGGAAAGAGTTGGAGAAGGCCTCGGCATTTTTATTTTTGACAAGGAGTTGAATGAACAAGATTAAAAAAATAATATTGTATCTGCGAAATCTGTCAAACTTTAATAGAATTTTAGATAAATATTGCGAAATGCCGTATTAATCGTATTATATCGTATGGAAAAAAAATGCTATAATATGATGAGTAAATAGCAAAAAAGGCATATGTCTATATGCATATTATTATTCGTATTGTGATTTTGAGAAAACACAATTAATGCGATTTGTATTCGAATCAATTTATCGTGCAATTAATAATCTAGAGCAGCTGTTTTTAAAATATATACATTGTTATTCATATACATATGTTATTCATATATATATATTTATATATGATGACACAACGATGCAAATTTCATGGATCTTTTAGAGACTGAATTCTTGCAAGAGCAAAAAAAAGCATATGTCTATATGCATATTGTTACTCATATATGATAGCACAACGACAATGAATTTGACGAATTTTTTGGAGACTGAATTTTTGCAAGGGCAAGTGGGCGCGATAAAAAAAATATCCAATCACATGAGGAATTTAGAGAAAGTCGGAAGGGCTTCTCCGAGTAATCTCCAGAAAATTCATAAAATTCACATCATTGTGTTATCATATGCAAATAACAATGTATATAGACACGCTTTTTCGCTTATTCTATATCTATATATTTAGGTAGAAATGTACATGAGGAAGGAGATCAGGCATGTCTACGTTTATTCGGTCAACAAGCGGCAAAACAACAATCTATCTGCGACACTGACATACATCTGTGTGCAGAGTATTCACACATTGTTCAGCCCAACAAATAATTACTAATACAATATTTGCGTACTAGAAATATGAGACTGAATCGGGAACCCAAGTCTTTCGTTTCCCGAATAATTGCTCTTGACCGCACTGAGCTTTCCTCACACCTGATGTCTTACTTAATAGTCTCTTTAATACGATTCCAGAGCGATGTTGGAGTCGCTCAATGCAATACCGATTGTTACAGAGATGGATAGATTTTTAAAATGGCCGTTTGTTGACCAAGTGAGGTGGAGGTATTCGCGTGCAATGTATGCTATCGTAAATTGTAATTGTACATCGCGTTTAAATGAAATAGAACGTACTATTGCAAATCAAATGTGTGTACACTTTATTCTCAAAATAAAATGTTCGTTACTTTATAGAAATCATGAGAAAAAAATAACAAATACTCATAATTGTCACTTCCTTACTTTTGGAGATCAAATTTAAAGGTTTTTGCTGTTAAAAGAATATGAGTTTACATTATATTTTTAAGGATGTTTGTATGTACAACCCCCATCAAAAAATAGCTGAAAATCGATATTGACGAATCTCCACTTTTGATGTATTTTGGTGTATATGAGAAATTATGTGGAATATTTATTGCGTTTTTACTGAAATATTTCGAATTTTATTAATCGAAATGATTAACTTTTGACAGAGAATTTCGCTTTGTGACAGATACATGGCTAACTTCATTAAATTATATTTAATATCTTTTTAACCAATTAGTATTTGTATAATATTATTTGATCAAATATTTCCTCTGTATCTAAACTTTTGCAAATCTTAAACAAATTCTGAATATTATTTCTATGTATTTTTGCCATTCGAATCGACGTGGTTATACGTTTCCCATAAGAACACATGTTAATTCGGTGCAAATTAAAATACTTATAACTTGTGAACGCTTTAGTGAATCGATTTAAAAATTATACTGAAGATTCTAAACATATGTAAGAACATTCTGTACAATTTTCATTAAATTCTCAATATTTTAAAAATAGGTGCAAAACATCCTTAAATATATAATAAGACTGTCAACTAATACGTATATTAAAAATATATTTTATGTGCATTTCTAAAAATAAAATTCTTATCTTTTTTAATTGTTTTAGAGAAAATGCCTATGTTGAGAGAAAAAGCTAGACTAAAGCACCTCTCTTTCTTCTCTTAATTTTGAATGTGGCGCGCAGCGCTCGATCGATGCGCGCGCACTGACATTTAAACGGAGCAGAACAGCTGTTACAGGGTCTGTTCTTTTTAGCTGCACTGCTACACTAGTGCAATAAGTTGAAAAGAGACAAACATACTTTCTTTCACTCTAACTAATTGCACTAGTGCAGCAGTGCAAATAGCAGTGCAAATAAAAAGAACAGGCCCATAACCTTAACAGTGCTGTGTTTATGCGCCCGCATTTGACATGATCGTAAGAGCAAACAGCACGATTTTAGAAACTAACGTCATACAATGAAACGTGGCTTTTCGTCAGTGGCTTTATAATTATCTCCCCAGTATATCCCAATCCATTACAACATGTACGTCGTTGCAAAAATGTATTTATTCTACGTTATCGTTGGCGTACTATTCTGCGTATCTTACGCGGATTTCGTTCGCGAGGTTAGTATTCTACGGGGTTTCCTCGAAATTTTGACCTCGAAATTGTATAAACAATCTAATGACAAAAATTGGAAATTTTAGAGCGAGCTCGACTACGATGGCTGGTTGCAATTGCGATTATGGCAAGCATTCAATGACGACCCGATGCCCGTGTTCACGGAACGAGGAAACATCACCGTGTCCAGCGTACGTAGCGGCGCGTCCGTTGTTGGTCAGAACGGCCTGTTACCGGCCCAGATAAGCGCGCTGAAGAATCTTGCCGAGCACGACGGCAAGTACAGGCTGAAGGTTCTGGCACGCACCTCATCTGGCAGCGAGATCACGTTCCTCAGCTCAGTGCCAGCGGTAATAATATTGGATAAACTTTTGACAGCAGTTCATATATCATTGATACAGATTCATCAACGATAAATATTATCCATTAGTAAGGGTGCTTACAACATTCGAATTTATTTAACATTTGTATTGTGAGCAAAGAACATATACGGATGGTTCTTATCTCTATCTTGGTAGAATATTGTAATTTATTACATCTGGATGTTGATCAACAAATATTGTCAATTTACAGTGTTATTTGCTCGGTTCCGATCTAGAAGATATCATAACAATATGGTTGGACAGTGCAGCAGAGCCAATAGCTGTGAGCATTTCGTCCTTAGGTCCCTGTATATTAGACAACCCCTTCACAAATATGTGGACCACTAATGTCGTAGTCAGATATCCAGACGGCGGTCCTATTCCAGATACTGCTATGTATATTCAAAAACTCGAACGAGAACGAGAAGCAAGGGAGAGAGGAGAAACCAAAGATAATCGTTCATTTCTTGCGAAATACGTAAGCATATTTCTATTAAAAGACATTTATATATTATAGATTTTAGATAATGTACATTTTGTATATTTTTGTTACAGTGGATGTATATTGTCCCTGCATTGATCTTTCTACTGCTTTCATCTGCGACAAATCCAGAAGCTGCTGCAGGAGGAAGTGCACAAAGACAATGATTTTCTAATGAAAATAATTTGTACCTGTGTGTGCATTATGTCCCAGAAGATGGTCTTATGAAATTTGTCTAAATTTATATAGTATATAATTTCATATAATGTAATAGTAATATAAAAATTGATACATTAATAATAATCCTCTAATTGTAAGTATTACTAAATATGTATAATATTACATTTTTCTGCTAAAATAAATATAATTATTAAATTATATGATTATATTGCTTATGTTATTATTTTAAATGAAATAATGTTCTGATGTAAAGTATTACACAATAGTTGTGACATCTATAAATATAGCTACGTAGAAAATCAATATTTGATCACCATGCCAATGGTGAAGGCACAACATTAGTGAAGTGTACTGTGCAGAAGAGATGGCAGAATTTTCTTTAAATATCCAGAAACATATTAAGGCAGGTCTTGTTGTGAGTGGAAAATTCGATGGATCGCACGCGTGTCTTGCGGCTGCTACACCTGGTGGGAACATTTTAGTGCACAGTCCTCATAGACAACCGCAGGTCGATTATTCTGATCACAAACAATCTAACAAAAGATTATCATGGAGCGGGGAACTTGCGGAGCTCCAAATTGGTACCGAGGTTCGAAAATATTACAAAATTGAAATGCTATAAATTATATTGAAAGAAAATTCTGTATTTTTATTTCATATATAATGGCCTACATTTAGGTCAAATCATTATGCACTGGCCGTCTCGGAGAGGACGAAAGGGATGTTCTTTTGATCGGTACTGTTTCTCATGTGCTTGCTTATCATGTTGAAGATAATACCGATGTCTTCTACAAAGAAGTATTGACTATAACTTAAAGTTAAGTTTGTAAAATTCATGAATGATGATTATATTAACTATTTTAGATGTCGGACGGTGCGAATTGTATAATTGTTGCTAAAGTTGGATGGCTACCCAATCAGGTTGCAATAATAGGAGGCAACTGTTCTGTCACAGTTTTAGATGCGCATGGTACAGAAATCTTTTGGACAGTGATGGGAGGCATTGTCACTTCACTGGCAGTATTTGATTTCGATGGAGATGGTGAAAATGAAGTACATGTTATTTATTAACTATATATATATTTTTTTATATATATATTTTTTCTTTTTTTTAAATAGTGAATTTGCAAATTAACTATTTTGTCTTCTGCAGTTATTGACTGGTACAACAGAATATGAAATTAAAGTGCAGAAAGAGGATACCATGCTTTGGGAAACTAAAGAAACGGCAGCAATTGTTGCTCTCACTGATCTTTCAAACAGACAGTTTGCTTATGCTGTTGATAATGGAACAATTGGTGTCTATGAAGCAGGGCAGCGACTGTGGAGAGTTAAAGTAAAAAAAAATGTTATTTTAAATCTATAATTTGCATGAAATTTCAGGGGAAAATTTATTTATAATTATGTATGTCATATGATGTAAAAAGAACATATCTTACACAAAACAAAATATATATAAATATATATATATATATATATATATATATATATGTATATGTATCAGGATATGTGAACAAAATTGTAAATAAATTTCTTAGATTTAATTGGAAATTATGAAATTTGTCTAAAGTAAATTACATATTAAAATAATGTGTAATCAAATTTAAAAAATTTATTTTAGTCAAAGCATAAAGTGGTATCTGTAGGAACTTTTGATATAAACAGTGATGGTACATTAGAATTGATCACTGGTTGGAGTAGCGGGAAAGTGGATGCAAGAACATACAATACTGGCGAAGTCATGTTTAAGATTCAATTGTCATCTGGTATAGCGGGTATAGTCGATGCTGATTATCGAAGAACTGGCAAGCCTGATTTAGTGGTCGTTTCAACTACTGGTGAAGGTATGAAAATATAAAATTTATTATTTTTACTATAATCAAATAATTATATTTTTGTATTTTTTAAATTGTATTTTTCTATTTATGCTGTATTTATATAGTACGTGGGTATAGTGCTGGATCCGCAATACAAACTCCAGAACCTGGAGAGATGATACGTGAATTATTAGCTAAAAAGCAAGCGCTCCAAATGGAATTGCGACAAAGGGCTGCGACTGGTTCCAATATGTATTATGGATCAAGATTAGCCATCAGTCTGCTGACACAAAGAGGTGCAGCCCGCGTTGCGCTTGCTGCTGGACCCGGGCTTATGGTAATATATTATTTGAGTATCTCTTTTTATAAAATTATACATTCGAGTTTCCTTTTGCTGCAATCTTTTTTTATTTCTTCCATTTAAATTGATTTTTCGTTAACACAAATCTTATATAGTTGAAAAATTACGAAATTTCATAAATAATATTAAAATAATATTTAGGTACATTGCGCTATAGTGTTTGCCGAGGGTGTTTTTGAGGGTGAAACGCTGGTAACGCATCCTAATCGACCACAAGGGGAATTAGAGATCGCACTTTATCCTGCCAAGAATGATCCCGTAGACATTCACGTTAAAGTATATGTTGGTCCTCCTGGTGCCGACTTATTGCAGGTACTCGATAATCACGCAATATATATCTTACAAAGGATTTCTAATTCATTTTTAATATTCGATAGGTTTTCGAGATAACACGACAGTTGCCAAAATTCTGTATGTACGAGCTCATCCCAAAACCGCAACATATCCCGGAAGAATTATCGAATAATGGCGTTATAACAGATGTAAACTTTAGAATTCGAATTTAAACATAATGTCTAATAGTTGGAATAATCTCAAAATAAATATGCGATCCTCTATAGGTCGCAGAGAGATCGCAGCGCATCGCCATTTGGTTAAACCAGAGTCTCATCTTGGGAGAGGAATTGGAGATCGCGGAAAGTGGCCCGAAAGCCGGATGCATAGAAGTGTGGCTTCGTGGAATGCGGGACAACAAAACGCACTGTTTCAAATCAAACGCCAATGGGAAGGTGACGATTCAGACAGATGATTCGACATTCGCCGGCGATATTATTCAGTCTCTTGCCATGTATTTAGGCGTCAGAGAACTGACTTCAGAAGCCACATTTCCAGCGGAAGAGAGCAGAATGCTGGACGCGTTGGAACGTGTCAAGGGTACGCAGGGGAGAAAGGGGTAAAATATAAGCTGATTTTTTTATTATTAAATTTTTTTGGTCAGATTAATGGCTATTTTTTGAAAAAAAAAAGAATTATATCGTAAAAACTGTTTTCTGATGCACTTATTAGGTTTGAAGGAAGTCGATGCGCGACTCCAGGCGGAAGCTGCGGGAGGTGTCAATCTCCTGAAGAGTATCGTCATTCGTTTAGAAGACGCTAGAATCCTCGAGAATATTGATGATATGCGAAAGAGACTGATGCAATTGAAGAACATCAACGGCGACTTAATTCGAGAACACGAGATTCGACTGAACAGTCATCGAGAGCTCGCGGCTAGCCTGAAGGAATTGAATATCGGTGTGCAGCGTGTAGCGAGGCTCAGAGGTAAAAATTTTATTCTTACAAAACTGCATCCTCCATTATTATTCTTATCTTGCCGTTCTCATATTTATTCCTGCAGTCGGGAAAGCTGCCTCCAACGCGGTGTCTCGTTGCAGAGCAGCGATACAAGATGAAAATCCGAAAGCGCTTGCGCTCGCGATAAGGCACGGGTAGCTTAAATATAGAAAAGCCATAGGATAATCGTTATGCAATAAAATCATTGATTTTTGTAACTGCAGAATGATTTTCCTTTTATAATATATTTTAAAAACCATAGCATTATCCTGTGCATATGTAAATCTGTATTATTGATACAGATGAAAACTTCAATTTTGTGTACGTTATATGCGCAAAGTTTTTTTTACAAATATAAATATTTATTAAAATGATTAAAATATAATTTTTATACATGTTTTTTATGTTTAATAAAAAAAGAATATTGAATTTTAAAATATAAGTTTAACGATTATAACAGATTTCCGCGCGCGGAAATGCTAAATCTTCTTCTTGATGAAGGAGGTGACTCTTTTTCTCGACGAAGAGTGTTTATGGTCCCATCTGTGGAAGCTCTCAGTCTGAAAGTTGCCGGCTGCTGTCCTGGCAATTCGGCCAACAGTTTTAATATGTTCACAAAGACGGCCATGACCTGTCGAATGAAAATAATCGCAAATTGTCATAATCGTGCTATTATATAAAGGCATTATCTTAAATATTTTTTTACAAGCATCATCATATTGGCGTCAGTATTATCATTCATGTCATATCTTTATATTTTTTCTTTCTCTATCGTGACACGTGTAAAATCAATTACTTTATATCTCCCATTCGCGCTCTTGCGTCATTTAAAATCATAAAATATTATTTTAGGAAAGCAGTAATGTATAAATCAAAGAATACGTGTCTCCACCACTGAATTCATCTTTTACGTATCTCATTTTGCATACTTTTAATCAAATATTTTTAATAAAATATTTTTAAAATATTTTAATATAATACTTTATTTATTAATTGCAGTGATATCAAATTATTATTCAAATGTGATATATATGTATAGATTAAATAGATACAGATATAATATACAGAAATATACAGAATAAATAGACATATATATAGGGTGTTCAGAGCACCCGTACCACCCATTTAAAAACTAGAGAAGTGATTTCAAAAAAGTAAAAACATTTTCTTTATAAATCGGATGCGCTCTATCGAATGGTGGTATTTTCAACTTCTGATTCCGGCCGGAAATAGGCGATTCAGACCGGAAGTGCATTTTTTAAAATGGAAGCCCCTATTTCTCATTACATATTCCGGAACCAGAAGTTGAAAATATCACCATTCGATAGAGTGCACCCGATTTATAAAGAAAATGTTTTTACTTTTTTTAAATAACCACTTCTCTAGTTTTTAAATGGGTGGTACGGATGGTCTGAAACACCCTGTAGAATAAATTTATTATTGAATTATTATTGAATTTATTATTGAAAATTACAAATTTTGAAATAATTTAATGATTTTTCATAATTGAATTTCTAATTAAAATTTTGATTAAAAACGAAATCATTAAAATAAATATAATAACATCTCTTATTATTCAAAATTTAATTCGCTTTTACTCCCAATTTCAATTTTATGATTATTGAA